CAATCTTCATGGAAACAAAGCCCAAACCACACCCACTGCCATGGAGTCCATTCTGACCCACAGCGCCCCTAGAGGACAGAGTGGAACTGCACCACAGGGTCTCCAAGGCTGTCAATCTTCACGGAAACAAAGCCCAAACCACACCCACTGCCATGGAGTCCATTCTGACCCACAGCGCCCCTACAGGACAGAGTGGAACTGCCCACAAGGTCTCCAAGGCTGTCAGTCTTCACGGAAACAAAGCCCAAACCACACCCACTGACATAGAGTCAATTCTGACTCACAGCGCCCCTAGAGAACAGAGTGAAACCGCCCCAGAGGGTTTCCAAGGCTGTCAATGTTCATGGAAGCAAAGCCACTACCATGGAGTTGATCCAACTCACAGTGCCCCTAGAGGACAGAGTGGAACAGCCCCAGAGGGTTTCCAAGATGTCAGTCTTTTTAGGGAAGCAGACTGCCTCGTCTTTCTCCTGCATAGCGGCTGGTGGATTTGATGAATGCCTTAGCTGTTGCCCCACCAGAGCTCTTTTTCATGTCAGGAACGGGGTCCTTAGAGAGGTAACACTTGAACTGAGTTCTGAAATAGAAAAGGAGAGAAGGTATTTCTTGTAGGGCGTGTGCAGAAGTGCTGAGATGCAGCAGAACATAGCATATTCAGAGACTAGCAAGAAGTTCGGCCCAGATGGAGGGAAGAAACATGGCGGACGTAAGGGTAGAGCATGGCCGCCTGCCACTCTTATTCTGTCACTCTCCCAACTCATCAGAACCTGTGACTTCAGCCACTGCCTTGGGGCCAAGGAGCCCGGATCTTTTGCTCCACGTCAGACCTTTCCCTGCGCTGCAGACCCATCCCAGTCCGCTTCCAGGGTGCTCCCACACGCACCCCCGCTCAGCGTGGCCAGGATGCAAATCTCCGCCCTCTCTGCTAATCTGCTCATCATCCTACGTTCCTTGTTTAGTAAATTGACCATTTCTAGCCAGGGCTCCAAACAGATTTAGGAATCAGTCTAAACTTCTCCTCACTTGCTGCCCAGATCCGCAGTCAGCCTCCGATGCCTCTAGCTTGTCTGCTGAAGTAGTTTAATCCACTACTATTGCTGGAACTCAAACTGGGCTGTCTTAGTCTCATCCCTTTCCAACTCTTCTCATCCAGTTTTCCATCAGTGACATTTTTTGAAGACGTACTTAATCCCACTATCCTCATTTTGAAACTTACTCTAGCTTTTAGACCAGGTTTGCTGATCTTATAGAGCCTGGTGAGACCTCTGAGAATATGGCCCTGTTCTGGTTACCTAGTGCCACTCTGACAAGAAATATTACCACAAATGGGATGGCCTTAACAAACAGGAGTTTATTCTTACAATTTGGAGGCTTTAAGTCCAAGTTCAAAGTGCCAGCCTCTAGGGGCTGGATGAAAGCCCCTCAACCTTGGGGTGCAGCTCTGCCTCCTGCTCCCGGCCCACTGGAGCTAGAGGCTTTTCTTCACTCAGACAGCTGTTGGCTGCTGATGATGGGAAGGCCCAAGGTTAACAAGTAAAAAGGCATAGTCCGGATGTTACCAAACCACACGTCAGCCCATTAACTTAAGTCCGTTTTAAGTCCCAGGGTCGGCAGAGCATGGCAGGCTGCTGAGCAACAACATGGCTACATGCAGGGTCCAAGTGTGCCATAGGCTAGAGACCATTCCCAAAGCTTCTCCTTATATACAGGAGGCAGACCACATCCCTAAGGCAGCTACTCAGCTGCTTGTGGTAGATCCCACCATGGAGTTGACTGCCAATCTCATCATGGGGAATAACCATCACCAGCTGCCCAGCCATTCAACCAGGCCCAGCTAAGTTGACACACAAACATAACCAGCACAGACCTCTAGTTACCGTTCAGGTCTGGAATTGAACTCACTCCTGTGGCTTCCAGTTAAACAGTAGACAGGCATATGTGGTGAACATTTTCATCAGGTAGATACACTCCTTAGAATAATCAATCAGGGCAGTATTTGCCCAGGGAAACGGGAAAGAAGGACACAGGGAAGAGGTAACTACAGGGAGGAAGTGAGAAGAAGCTGTTGCATTGTGGGGAATTGCAATCAATGTCATGAGGCAAAAATGTGTGTGAACTGCTGTATGGAAAATGAATTTGCTCTGTAAACTCTCACCCAAATCACAATAGAAATTTCTTTAAAAAGTGTACTGTAGCTTTTAATATAAACTCCTTTTTTTTTTTTAATGTTTTTAAATGTGATTTGGATTAAAGTTTACAGAGCAAATTCATCTTCCGTACAGCAGCTCACATACATGTCTCATGACATTGACTGCAGTCTCCCACAATGCAGCAGCTCCCCTCCTCCTTCCTCCTCATATCACCTCTTCCCTGTGTCCTTCCCTCCCATGCACTCCTGCCCCCTGAGCTGTCTCCCTGTGCACACGCAGCCCTTCTGTTCTCCCATGATTGATCCCTCCAAGGAGTGTATCTACCTAATGTAAATATGTAGCTCATATGCCTGTCTTTTGTTTGCCTGGAAGCCACAGGAGTGGGCTCAGTTCCAGACCTGAAGGGCAGCCAGGGGCCATAGTCTCAGGTTCCACCAGGCTCTGTCAGACCAGCAAACCTGGTCCCTTTTTTTTTTTTTTTTTTTTTTTTTTTTATGATTTTGAGTTTTGTTCCACATTGTTCTCCCTCTCTATCCAGGATCTCCTATATAGATTCCCCTCCGAGTGGTTGACAGTGGTAGCCAGGCACCATCTAGTTCTTCTGGCCTCATAGTCAATATAGGCTGAGGATTGCATGGTGTACCAGTCCCTTGGACTAATTGTTTCCATACATCTTTGGTTTTCTTATTTCTTCTTTGCTCTGGGGGAGAAGAGACCCATCGTTGTATCTAGATAGCCACTTGGAAGCTTTTAAGATTCCAGTTGCTACTCGCCAAAGTAGGATGTGGAACAATGTTTTTGTGTACTATGAGTATAAACTCCTTTCCTTGTTTGTTTCCCTCATCTCATGCTACTCCTTCACCAAACACTCTGCTGGAACTGAGCTGAGGCTTCCGGGTTATGACTGTATTTGAATTGTAGTTTCCCTCTGACCAGGCACTGCTCTGTTAGATTCATTTTTACGACTCCTTTTTTCTCTTTTTTTTGGGGTGGAGGGGTCTTGTTTTATTTAGTTACTTAGTTTGTTTTTCACTTTTTATTGTGATTTGGGTGAAAGTTTACAGAGCAAATCAGTTTTCCATTCAACAGTTGACACACATTTTCTTTCGTGTTGTTGGTTACAGTCCCCTGAGTGTAACATCACTCATCCCACTTTGTCCCTCTGTTTCTTATTTGCCATTCTTGCTTCTTTCCTAACCCTTCCTCCTGCCTTATGAACTTTGTGGGCAAATGTTGCCCTTTTGATCTGAAATGGCTGATTGCTGTAAGGGGTGTGAACCTCCCTTGTGTCAGTTGTTCACTGTGTGTTGTTAAGTGCCATTGAGTCAGCTCTGACTTGTAGTGACTCTTCGTACAACGGAACGAAACCCTGCCCGGTCCTGCCCAGGCTCACGCCCCTTGCTGTACCTGAGTCCGTCGTGGCAGCCACGGTGTCAGTCCGTCTTGTTGAGGGCCTTTCCCTTTTCACTGACGCTCTGCTTCGTGATACTCTTCACCAGGTAATAGTCCCTTCTGACAACATGACCAAAGTAGGTGAGATGAAGTCTGGCCATTCTGGCTTGTGAGGAGCATTCCGGCTATGCTTCTTCCAGGACAGATTTGTTCGTTCTTCTGGCAGTTCATGGTATTTTGAGGAGTCTTTGCAAACACCGCAATTCAAAGGCATCAACTCTTCTTCAGTCTTCCTTATTTATTGTTCAACTTTCACATGGATATGAGGCGATTGAAGATACCATGGCTTGGGTTAGGCTGACCTTAGTCTTTGAAGTGACACCTTTGCTTTTTAACACTTTAAAGAGGCCTTTGTCAGCAGATTCGCCCAGGGTAGTACAATGTCTGATTTCTTGACTGCTGCTTCCGTGGGTGTTGGTTGTGGATCCAAGTAAAATGAAATGCCTGACAACTACAATCTTTTCTCCATTTATCATGATGCTGTTTATTGGTCCAGTTATGAGGATTTTTGTTTTCTTTATATTGAGGTGTAATCCGTACTGCAGACTGTAATCTTTAATCTTCATCAGTAAATACTTCAAGTCATCCTCACTTTCACAAGCAAGGTTGTATTGTCTGCATATTGCAGATTGTTAATGAGTCTTCCTCCAGTCCTGATGCCATGTTCTTCATATAATCCAGTTTCTCAGATGATTTGCTCAGCATACAGACTGAATAAATATGGTGAAAGGACACAGCCATGACACACACCCTTCCTGATTTTAAACCATACAATGTCCCCTTGGTCTGTTTGAATGACGCCTCTTGGTCTATATACAGGTTCCTCATGAGAACAATTAAGTGTTCTGTAATTCCCATTCTTTGCCATATTATCCACAATTTGTGATGATCAACACAGTCAAATGTTTTTGCATAGTCAGTAAAACACAGGTAAACATCTTTCTGGTATTCTTTGCTTTCACCCAAGATACATCTGCCATCAGCAATGATAGCCCTTGTTCCACATCCTCTTCAGAATCCAGCTTGAATTTCTGGAAGTGCCCTGTCAGTGTACTGCTGCAACCATTTTTGAATTCTCTTCAGTAAAATGTTACTTGCACATGATGTTAATGATATTGTTTGAAAATTTCCGCATTCTGTGGGCTCACCTTTCTTTGGAATGGGTACAAATACGGATCTCTTCCAGTCAATTGACCAGGTAGCTGTCTTCCAAATTCCTTGGCGTAGATGAGTGAGTGCCTCCAGCAGGGCGTCTGCTCATTGAAACATCTCAATGAGTATTCCATCCGTCCTGGAGGCTTGTTTTTCACAAATTCCCTCAGTGCAGCTTGGACTTCTTCCTTCAGTATCATCAGTTGTTGATCATCGATCTGTTCTTTTGATACAGTGACTGTGTGTATTCCTTCCTTCTTCTTTTGATGCTTCCTGCATCATTGAATATATTGCCCATTGACTCCTTCAATATTGCAACTTGAGGCCTGAGTTTCTCTTCAGTTCTTTCAGCTTGACCAGTGCCAAGAGTCTTCCCTTTGTAGACCTGTCTATTGTTTGGCTGGAAACTGAGCCACCGAGGGGCCTGCTGCTCTTTGAAGATGCAGCCATTCCTTCTTGGGAAACCTTTGGCTAAAGTCTTCTAACCACTGACCCTTCTGATTAAGGTCATTCACGTGCCTCAGACTTACATACCAGCACTCGGAGCCCTGGTGTAATGGGGCTCAGGCACTCAGCTGCTAACCCACAGGTCAGCGGTCTGAACCAACCAGTGGTTCTCTAAACAAGAAAGATGTGGCAATTTATTTCCATAAAGATTGCAGCCTTGGACAGGGCAGATCTACTTTGTCCTGTGGTTGCTATGAGTTGGCATCAGGTTGATGCCAATGGGTGTTTTGCCAGCACTGGCTTTCTCTGCGAGACTATCAAATCTTTGGGTTCCTAATACTTAGGAGCTCTGGTAGCATAGTGCCTAAGGCACTTGACTGCTAACCAGAAGGCTGGTGGTTCAAACCCACCAGCCACTCCTCGGAAAGAAGGTTGGGCAGTCTACTTCCATAGTGATAACTGCCTCGGCAACCCAAGGAGGGGTCGCTATGAGTCAGGGCCGACTTGACAGCACATAACAACAGTACTTAGTGCAGAGCCTGGCACACAGTAGGCTTTCACTGAATGTACATGTGAATAAATAAATTATGAAGAGCCTCGCATGCCTAGGTGACTGGATGCTTCGTATACATCAGAGAGATCTTTGGATGCCATGGTCTTTGTTGTAAGCCCTACGAGTCTTTGAGGCTGAAACTGCTCTGTTTTTCAGGCACTTTGCATGTCTGTCCTCCAAATACATGTGTCCTGGTGTGCCAGCCGTCATGAGCACCTTACTGGCCAACATCAACGCCTACTACGCCCACACGACCGCGTCCACTAACGTCTCTGCATCCGACCGTTTCGCAGCCTCCAACTTTGGGGTGAGTGGGGTGCCACCCATTTGTCATCAGTAAATCTGGTTTTCTCTGACAGATCCTAGGGCCTTGGAAAGTCCCTGAGGCCATTCCATTCTGGCATTTGGCCTAGTTCCCTTATTCAGGGCTTGCCCTTTCCTGGTGTGAAGGAATCTTGGAAACTGAGTCACTAATCAGAATGCCACCTGCCTTAAGTTCGATATAAACTGGATGAGTATCTCTGATCCAGCACAAGGACTACCTCTTTAGGGGTGAATTGCTGGTACCCCCAGTCCACTGAGTCTCGAAGCCCTGTTTTCTGTACTGACCATTTTGTTGTTGTTAATAGAGTCTTTCTGATGAAGAATTTATGCTGCTGACTAAGCCAGTGTGTTAGACTGGGTTCTCTAGAGAAGCAAAACCAGTAAAGCTTATATAAAGAGAGAAAGAGAAATTTATCTTAGGTAAATGACTCACACACTTGTAGAAGCTGGCAAGTCCAAAGTTGTTGGATCAAACATCAAGCTGGAGGCTTTTCCTGACTCAGGCAGCTGCAGGGGCTGAGGAGCTCAAGATTGGCAAGCAGTCTACTGGCTGTGGACTCCAACAAATGACAAACCAAGATCTCCAGGCCCAGTGGTGGATTGTTCACTCATGGACAGTTGTAGGCAGCACAACAGAATCCCGATTCATAGAAGAATGTCTCTTTCCCCAGGATGTCCATAAATATACTGGAAGCAGGCCATACCCCTAGGGAAACTCCCTTTCAACAGATTGGGTGCTCAAAACATACTCATCTGACCCCATCATGGGAATAACCACATCACAACTGCTTAAACCACACAGAATTGTGGTCCAGGCAAGTTGACACACAGCTCCAACTATCACAGTCAGTCAGATACCTTTTCCATCTGTCTTAATCCATTGTGTATTTACTTGATATCTAATGATATATGACATGGTCAATATGTGAGTCCTAGCAGTGCTGTGCCAGCAGCCTACAGGCACACAGTTCCACATTATGTTTTTCTGTAAGAATCAACTATTGAAATAATATACTATTCATTTTAACATTTAAAAAGTGTAACTCTTCTTCCAAATGGATCAGTATCTCTGCCTCCCATCATCACGGCCAGGCTTTGGCTGTGTAAGTGTCATGAACTACTCCCAGACAGGACACCATGGATTCAGGAACAAGGTGGAGAGTGTGTTGGGCTTTCCTTGATCCAGTTAAGATGTTAGTCCCAAGGGGATGGACATGCCCAGCTCATCTCCTGTTGTTTCTTGTACCGAACTGGCTATTTCCCACCCGGGGCTTGGCTTTCCTCTTGGCAGGATGAGATTTCCCAGTGTGGGAAAGAACTGCTGAGAGAGACGGGGACCCCTGATCCCGTTTCTGCCCACTGTGTGTTCTTCTCTCCACGGGCTCCCCACCCCAGTGCTCCTCCCATCCTTTCGAATCCCCGGAGGTGCTGCTGTTTCTGCTCCTGTCCAGGGAGCTCAGAGATACGTCCCCCTCTCTTCCCTCTTTGTTTCCCACCCTCAGAAAGAGAGATTTGTGAAACTGCTGGACCAGCTGCACAACTCGCTGAGAATCGACCTGTCCACGTACAGGGTAAGAGAAGACGTGGCTGTGGGGCGGGGGTGGGGGCGGCAGACAGCATCTGTCCATCCAGGGACCCCGTAAACCAAGCCAGTCTGGGCTGTAAAGGTGAAGATTGGTTCATGTCCTCACAGCCACATCCAACAGCTGAGGTTCTGTAAATGCCAGGGGCCTGCAGGGTGTGACGGCAGCAGGTAGCCTGCTCCTGCAGGCAGTTCGCTCTCCACCCTCAGCCTCGCATTCCCTGAGGACGCTTTCAGGAGGACTCTCCTGAGGAGAATGTCTCCCGGAGATGCCCTTATAAAAGTTAGGTCCTTAATTACATTTCCTTCTTGTCTCCCCCCTCTCCTCATTTTCCAGAGGAGGTGTGAAAACTGTCTAGTGAGAGAGAGAGTAGCTTGGCTCGGACAGATGTCAAAGGTCATGTCCATTCCTAGCACACAGGGAGGAAATACATATATTAGGAGGATGGGTTCCTGGGAGGGGCAGGATAAGGCAGTGGGCCGTTTCTCAGCCCCTCCTGAGGTGGATCTTCTCAGACCTGCTCAAGTACTTGCTTTAAAGTGTTGTGACTTTTCGGAACAGGCGATATGCCCACATTAAAAAGTAAGTATGAAACCACCTTGCGCTAAAACAGACGTGAAGGTTGATTAGCTGCGCTTCAGTGCCCTCCATCTGCACGAGTAATGGAGAGCCTGACTGTATGTCTCCTGTTGGCATATCAGTGGCTGTTGAACTATTAAAGCCCCATCCCTTGACGTGGAGACGGCTCAGCCATCTCGCTCCAGCGCTCCCTGGCAGCTTCCCCCCAAAGTTCGCGCCAGAGGGAATGACGTGAGGTGTGGCAGGAAGGCCTGCAACCTCGTGGGCAGTTCTGCTCGGAGCTCTGCTCTGCTCTCCGAGGCTGCAGAGCAGAGGAGGGGCTGGGATCCTCTGTACAGAAGGACCAGTCCTGGATCTCAGTCTGGGCTGAGTGTGGTTCCACTTATATTCCCGGATATACAGTTAGAATGTAACTTTTGAAGAACTGACTTTGGGTCTAAGAATCTCCACCCAAGAAAAGTGTGTGTAGGGGTATCTGTGTACATGTGTGCATTTGTGCAAATGCCCACACAATGCATGGGAAGTAGGGTTGGGGGAAGGACGTGTGGCTTTCCGGGCTGGGGAGGGTAGACCTCTCCTTTGGGCGGGGGCTTGTCTCTGTCAGTGGGAAAGAGAGGGAGGCCTGTAGCCTTCTAGCCTTTTCTGTCCCGCTCCACGAGGGAGAATCCCAGTGGGTGGCAGTCCGGGAGGCTTCCGATTTCATTGCTGTGGATGGGATGTGGATGGGAAGGCTTCGTATCTGGCCGCTCCTTTCTTACACTTGCTTGGTCTGCAATAGAATAATTTCCCTGCTGGGAGCCCCGAGCGGCTTCAGGACTTGAAATCCACAGTGGATTTGCTGACCAGCATTACTTTCTTCAGAATGAAGGTAAGGGGTGGGCTGTGTGGGGCGTGACTGGGCAGAATAAGTATCACTGGTAGAGTTTGAGGCTACAGTTGTCAGCACCTCTGAGCTCACATTTTTAGAGACCTGCTTCCTGGGTTAGTTCTGAGAGAACACATAGACCGTGGATCAACAAGGATGGGCTGGATGGTCTGCCCGTCATCTGTCCTGGCAACTTCAACCCAGAGCAAGGCGCAGGGACCCATAGGGAGACGAAGGAATCTGGGGAGCTTTGGAAGAATCCTGGAAGGTCCCACCCGGATGAGCAGGACTGTGCTCATGTTCCTCCTGCTCATTGGCAGGTCCAGGAGCTGCAGAGCCCCCCGAGAGCCAGCCAGGTGGTGAAGGACTGTGTGAAGGCCTGCTTGAACTCCACCTATGAGTACATCTTCAACAACTGCCATGACCTGTACAGCCGCCAGTACCAGCTGGTAAGACGCTGCGGTCGGGGGGGGGGGTGTCAGTGGCTCCTTGGGGCCTTAGCTTTCCTTTGCTGCGGTCATGGTGGGAGGCAGCTCAGGACAAAGCTCTGGCAGTTCTTGGGGGTGAGTGAGTTGTGGAGTGTGGACCATTTCGACCAGGTGATACATTTATGAATAGAGCGGGGCTATTGGACAGGCTCTGACATACATGAGTGGAACAGAAGTGTTCAAGGAAGTTTGACTTTGGTGCTAAAGAAAGTGAAGGTAAATTCTAGCCCAGTTCAGGGGCTGAGTGTGTGAATTCTCACTGCCAGTATTCGCTGTTCCGACTCACTGTGGGCCACAGGTTGCCTCCCTGGAAACCGGTAGCTGCCTTTCTGAGCAACTGGCCCTGGAGCTGACCCTGTCCCTCTGTGAGGCTTAGCTCTTTAGGCTCTTCTAGGCTGGCATCCTAACTCAGCACCTGCCTACTTTGTGCATTTTTCTGGATCCTGCCAACAGTGTTTTTTCTCATTTCAAAGCCAAAGCCTATCATTTCATTGTACTTCCTGTCTCGTGTCTTGATGACTACACATTTGCAGAGCAGATGCCCTTCAGTCCAATGGATATGTCCTGAATGTTCATTCTGGGACAGACCACCTTCCCTGTACTGTAGGATTACAGAGCTGAGGAAGGTGCCATGTGTGCCTTCAGTAAGTTCAGACTGTCATGGGGGGCTAGCTAAGAAGGTAGGTCCCATCACACAGTCTGTTGGAAAGGTCTTGAGAGACTGAAGGGATTCCAGGAAGAAGTCATTCTTGATCAGATACCAGGGACACATGAATACGGCAAGGGGTACTGGAGACAGCCCTTGCAGGGCCGGGAGGATTTGTACAGTGGTGCTAAGAGGACGGCCTGCATTTCGTGGGCCTCGCCCTTGGTGAGCGTTGCTAATGTGTGCGTTAGGTGCATGTGTGCCTGGTTTGCAACGCTCCTGGGAGCACCTTGTCGCTGGGTGCTGTCCTGTCAACTCTGACTCACGGCGACCCCACGGGACAGAAGGGAACCGCCCCACAGGGTGTTCTTGACTGTAATCTCTACAGGAGCAGGTCACCAGGTCTGTCTCCTGCAGTCACTGGGTGGGTTTGAACTGCCAGCCTTTCATTGGCAGCTGAACACTTCACTGTTGGTGCCCCAGGCTCCGTGGCCACTAGGTGAAGGCTGAGGGATGGTTTGTGCTGCCCCCTCTCATTCCCAGATACAGATACCTTCTCTTCAAAGTTTATGAAACCTCCCTCCCCTCAGCTCTGAGGTCCATGGGAGGTTTTCTGGAGGCCTTTGTTTTGCCTGCCACACTCTGTTATCCATGGATTCTCTCTGCTTAGGGGAAGACACTGTTTTCAGCATGGCTATTTCAGCCACGCAAGGGCCTGTCTGAACATCTGGGCTCTATTCCTTACCTTGGGCTAACCCTGTCTTTGAAAGAGGCCTTTAAGGCATTCAGGGTCTTTTCCACAGCCTTTGTGCTCCGTTAACTGCTTCGTCCTCTCTCTCTCGTTTTCTCGTTATTCGTATGTAGACTGGAGTCTATTCTTGGTACAGTTTTTACTCATCTACTGACCTTCAGTCATTGGTTCCTTCCTCCCACTGTTCACTTAGGAGCTTTGGTAGCATAGTGCCTAAAGGCACTTGACTGCTAACCAGGAGGCTGGTGGTTCAAACCCACCAGCCACTCCTCGGAAGGAAGGTTGGGCAATCCTACTTCCGTAGTGATAACTGCCTCGGGAAACCCAAAGGAGGGGACACTAGGAGAAGGGGGCCGACCCGATGGCAAATAACAACAACAACTGTTCACTTAACAGACTAAGCACTAGGGACATGAAGTTGACTTAGACATGGCTCTGCCTTTGTGGAGCACAGGGTTTGGTGGAAGTAAGGGACAAGTTACTACAGTTGTTTTTTTTTTTATTAATTTATTGTTACTATATTTTATTACAGTTGCCTGTTAAGTCTAAACCATAGGTTCACAGAGGGGGCTCTGGGAGCCCAGAGGAGGGCCATCTAAGCAGACCAAGGCTATCAGGGAAAACCTCAGAAGAAAGAAAGTGCAACCTGAAGTTTGGGGAGATTACCTGGGGAGGGAGCAGGAGTGAGGATTGGGGGAGGAGAAGGGCGAGCAGTCCCCTGTAGAGAACCGAATGTGGGCCGCACAGAGTTGTGAG